TCGATACCCGGGCACCATGGGATACTGACTGAAACCCCACTCATTCTTGAGCATGTGAATGTCCGAATGGCAAATCCCACAATACAATACTTTGAACTGCACATCACTCTCACCGGTGGCCCTGCACCACCACGCCCAAACATAAAAACCAAAATTAAACAAAAAAGATACGAATTGAGTAAGAAACAATCAAATATCTGCAGATCTAAGGAGCAAAAATTGCAGAGAGATGATCAAGATTACAACTTTTTGCATCCCCACACAACAATCTCAAGAGAAAGACATGGTTAGTTAGATCTGAAACCTCCTGGAGAAGTTGAAAGGGGAAAGAACCCCAGAAGTGTCTCGCGCGGCCCATCCGAAGGCCTTCACCGGGTGCTCCGTCTCTGGATCTTTCGACATTCTCCAACTGTGGTTTTGTACTCTGAAGGTCTTCTGAGAGAATTTTGCGTTGATCCTGGGAACGACCTGGGTGTTTATAACACCTAAAGTCTGCCTAATCAGTGAGGCCATGGATGGATTACAGTTTGAATTGAGAAATTTTCTCAGTGTCTGATCTTCTCTCTGACTCTTGAGGTTTTCTATGAAATGTTTGTTGTGGACGTCGGGAGGCTGCGCGAGGGTGCGACGGATAATTGTACTGAAATTATTTTTTTTTAGCTAGCCCCGGTATTTGAGTTATGTTCTGACTAATTCATTAGTCGACTCGAATCGCACATTTAGCAGTGGTGGGTGTAAGAATTCGAACCCGAGACCTTGCTTAAGCGAATAGTACTGAAATTATTGACAAGTCAAAAGGAAAGAAGTGTGTGTTTTATTAGGGCATCCGTAACAATCATTATTTGTTGGCCGTTTAAATGCCCCCAACGTTTAACATGCATGTGTCTCATACATTAACAGGGGGCTCACTCATCCGTTCGGCTTACCTAACGCACATTCTTGCTGCTTTCTTTTTTTTTTTTTTTGTTTAAAATAATTATTTATTCATTTTTTTATTTGTTACTCTATTTAATATATTTTTTTATTTATATGACATTTTTCAATATGTATCAATAATCTTTATTTTTAATCCTCGTTCTTTGCCTACAAATACACGTCAATTTGTGATTTCTCGTGCACCAAAAAATTAGCAACTGCCCATTTGTGTAAAAAAAAAAAAATGGATCCGAATAACCGACAAAATTTTAAAATTTCTCAACTTCTAATCCTAACGATCCATATGAAATTCCATTATTCTAAAATTCACAAACTCCGCTGAATTTACTTTTTTTACAAACTCCTTATCCTGCACAATTTTTCCCACAATTCCCATCAATTTTATTTTTTTTTTATTTTTTTAATGCAACAAGAAGTAAAATTTCATAACACAGGCTATGGAATACTTGGATGAAGGTTAAGAAGTATTTTGACAGGCTGGTTGAGATCCAAATTAGGAATAGCAGAAACTTTAATAAAATTTCATAACACAGTTGGGTGCAATGTCTTAAAGGCAGACAAGTAAATTTTAAACAAGGAATCCATAAAAACATCACTTTAGTGTCTGAGCTTATGAGAAGGGGAGAAAGAGAGTGGAACAGGGAACTTGTTCTCTTCCTTTTTGATGACTAAACGGCTTATGCTATCTTCCAAACCGAAGAGTTCAAACCTAACGAGGAAGACAACATCTACGGGAGCTTGGATAGCAAAGGAATGTTTTTTTTGTCTCTTATGCTTATAAATACCTTCCAAAAGCAAAAGTTTTGATGTTGGACAAATCTGAAAATAGCCACAATGCAAATGCTATTAAACGGTGTTGAAGAGTACTTGGAGGCTTGAGGTAAAAGGTAAAATAAAACATATCGTGTGGAGATGCTTCTCGAGTCTCGGGAATCCTCCTAGTCATACTTAAACTCATGCAAAGGGTTCTTGAGGTGGATGTGGTATGTCAAGTGTGTGGAGAAGAGGAGGAATCAATCGAACACCTCTTTTGGCATTGTAAGAAAGCTTCAGAGGTGTGGCGCTTAGCACATGTTCAGTGGACTAATGCAGGGAATAGGGTGGTAAGCTTCTCTGATTGGTGGTGAGTAGATGAAAGTCGAAATCAATTTTTGACTTATATACTATGGTGGCTTTGGAAAGCCCGTAACTTGTGGTTGTTTCATAAATGTGTATACTGGAAGCGGCTATTGTAAGTAGCGTTGTGTTCTTGAATGAACATGAGTATGAAGCAGTTAGCTCTCGAATGAGATTCTATATTTTGTAGTTCTGGTCAGCTTCTTTTGTTTTAATCCTTGTTTTATGTGGTTTGAACTTTGGTTCCCGTTGCTAGTTTCTAGGTAGGATTCGTTGCTAGTTTCTAGCTAGGATTAATGTGTCCGTGTGTTGGAAGCGTGTGGCGTGCTGTGGTTAGGTCTGTGTTTTAGGCCAATTCGGTTGGTCATCTCATTGACATCCGGTGTGTATCGTTATTTCAAACTTTGTATGAGTTTTATTGAGAATCCTTTCGTTTGAAAAAAAAAATCTATAATTCACGCTTTTCTTCATGCAGCTTTGCTACTCTTTTATCTGTTCTATATTTCTTCCATTGTCAAAATTCCTTTTCAAGTAAAAAATTCTTTCCAAATCAAATACCTATTTAACGAGATCAGTAATGCTCACGTACCCACGGTGGGTACATGTTAATATATCCACCGCTTATGTGGCATGCACACATTGGTGATGTATTTTTTTGAACATATTAATATCACCATGTATGCATGCCAAGTGGTGGACATATTAACATATACCAAGCGTGGGTAAGAGAGCATTATCATTAAAGAGATATATCTCAATAAAATAATAACATATATAGGTATATTATTTTCTAGATATTTTACTAGTATTATTTTTTTATTTTTTTATTTTTTTTGGTACAATAAAGGAGGACAAAGCCTAGGAATACTTTAAGTTACTATTTGCCGTAGATGCGAAACACCGGCCAGATCATGCTGAAGCCAATACCCAATCCCATCCGGCGGTCGATCAAATTTATGCATGCCCACAGGCCCCCTTGCCGCCAAAGACGCGAGGTAATCCGCAACACAATTCGTTTCACGATAGCCATGACAAATATCCGCCGTCCATGGCCGATCTAAAAGGTCCTGTATCCCACGCAGAATATTCCCATGCGGGCCAGAAGTGTCCCCCGCTTGGACCATCGAAATAATACTCCGATTATCAACGTCCACCACAATGTGGCGGGCCCCTATCTCCCAAGCTAAGTGCAATCCCTGAAATAACCCCCACTATTCGGCACCAATAATGGAACAATAGCCAATATTCATCATAAAACCACTCACCCAGGCCCCTAGATGATCCCGAATAACGCCCCCTGCACTAGCCATCCCCGTCGAAGGATTAAAGCTCCCGTCCGTATTAACCTTAAGACAGCCCTCCGACGGAAAAGACCAATGCAACCAACGCGACTCACGTAACCCACCAGCCCCAAGTCGTCGGCCGCCCCTCAAAATCTTCCCAACCTGCCCGGTAAAGGACCGGACCTCGCCCAAGCGTCGTTCCAATGTAGGGCCATCCCCTTCGAAGATCCGGAGATTACGCCAATGCCACAGCCGCCAAGCAGTCACACCAAATAGCACCTCCCAGTCCTCGACACCCTGCACAAGACGGCCAGTCAAATTCTGACCAATCCAGCTGCGAAGGTCCAGGGAGAAAAAAGCGTCCCAGTAGCTGTGCGGCACCAACCGACGCCAAACCTCTGCCGCCGCCACACAGTCGCGCAGGACGTGCAGTGTGGATTCCGACGCCACCGCGCAAAATGAACACGT